GTAAATTCCTGAAAAGACTGGTACAGCCACCTCCAACCAGCAACGATCTGGAGCTTATCCTCAGGATCCTTCGGGCGATAGAAAACTGAAACCCACGACGACTTGATCGTTCGCGAACGCTCACCCAACTCCTTCGGCTCGAAACCTAAAGTGCGGGTAAGCTCCAGCTCAGCGACATCCACAAACTGCGCCCATGCATTATTCAAAACACTCCAGGCCACCGTGGCCTTCTCGTGCATGGCCCAAGCCGCTGCCTGAGCAGCATGAGCAAGAGCGCCTTGCCACGCTGGAGGTTGAGGCCGCGGTCCGAAAGGCACATCAACAGGGAGCCGCTGATAGCTACGATACACTAACTGCCTGAGGGAGAGAGCATCTGCACGAACCTTGAGTTGAACAGGCCTGTGGGGCTTGACATCCCAAGACATGACCGCAGCAACTCCCGAAATCAATCTAGACAAGCCGGGGCCCATGACGAAGAAATCAATGATTGTGTTCGTAGACGGGGTACGACACGTGTGCTCAATCGGCGCAAGAACCAACATCCCCAGCTTGCGTGGAACTCCAGAAGCCTCCAGAACCTGTGGTGTGAGATTCCAGTCCCCCGCGAGGATCGTATGAGTTGGGTCGTGCACCTGCTTACCTATCTTCGCGATCATCTGGATGTTGGCCTCGCTGAGGCCCTCCGATGTCTTCAAATAAACCGAGAAAACCGTCACAGTGGGCCATCCAGGAAAATCCGCCAGAACCTTGATAGCTCGTCCAGGAACGACTGGGCCAGGACCTTCTGGAGGCCATCGTAAACCAATGCTGAGCCGTGCGAAGACGGCAACACCGCACGAGACCTTGCCTGTCTCAACGTTCAGGAACGAGGGGCCGAACAAAGCGTGGAAACCAAGTGAGCGTGCCGAGGCCGTCGCCTGTCCCAAGAAAGAAGTGCTGATGCCTATCTCCTGAGCGCACACTATCACCGCCGAGGTCTCTCGCAATCTTCGCCGAAGTGTCTTCCAACACGAACCGTTGAACGTCTCGATAAAAAACGGGTCCCCACTGGCCACCTTGGGGCCTCCACGAAGAGGTGGAACAGGTACACCAGCAGAAGACAGCGGAATGCCTGACAAGAGAGGCGCACGGCAGCAGTGTAGGGCATCACCCGCACCGCTGCTTCTTCGCCCTGATACCAAGCTGCTTGAGCAAATCCGCGACCTCCTTCTCGTGGTCGGGGCCCTCCTTTCGCGCCGCAGCAATGACCTGCTGCACCTTCTCGTCGGAGAGCTCCTCCATGTCCACGTCATCATCACCAGCACGGACCTCGGCCGCTGCAGGAGCGGCTCCTGGGGCTGCACCATGTCCGCCGCCAGGCTCCTGCGAAGGGGCCTGCTGCTGGGCACGCGCCGCTGCCGCCTTGGCCGCATAGAGCTGCCTGAACTTGGCGAACTCGGGCGAAGCCAGCATCGTCTTGACCCCATCCGCCTCGGGGCCCTCGAGCACGCTCGGGTCCAGCTCAAGGTCGACCTCCACCTGCTGCTCGGGGGCCGAAGGAGCCACCTGCTGCATCGCCGCCTGCAACTCGATCTTGAGCGCGTCGATGTCCACGCGCAGGCTGCGCTGACGATCGTTGAGCTCCGCCAACGCCCGCTGCGCCTCCTCCACAACCTTATTCTGCTCCGCAATAGACTTGTCGAGAGCCTCGTACTTCTTCTGCTTGTCCGCCAGCTTGTGGCCCAGCGTGGTGGCGCGGGACAGCACTGGCTTCTTGGACTGCACTGCAGCCCGCGCCGCCTTGAGCTCACCCTCCACGGTCTCAATGGCAGACGCTGGCACTCCATCACACTTGCGAAGGGCCTGCAGGGACTCCTCCAAGTGCTGCACTCGAACACGTAGTTTGTCCTCATCAGAGGGCGGTGCGGCTTGAGCGTCGCCGCCACCGCCTCCAGCCTGGGCCGAGCCGCCACCTCCCCCTCCGTTGGCCGCGACACCCGCGGGAGGGCTCGACTTGGCGACAACCTTCTCCATGATACGCTTCTCCATGGCTGCCAGCTGGCCTGACAGATCGGCTGGGGGGCCCTTGGCCCACGCACCGCGAGGGCCGCGAGGCTGCCCAGGAGGACCGCCAGGAGGAGCACGAGCCGATGGGCCCAAAGAGGCAGCTGCAGTGCGCGCGCGCTCCACACTGGCCCTCGGGGCTGACTGCCCGCAGACGCAACGTATCCGACAGGCGAAATTCTGGTTCCGGCCACAGCTTGGACACCCCCAGTAGGGCGATCGGGGCCCTGGGAGTACATCCGCCTCATCGCGTCGAGCCATGCAATGCACGGCTTGTCTCAGGAAAGCTTGCTCCACCAGGAGCTCACAAAGAGATTCCGAGCCACAAAGACCCGCAGGAGCGACTGCCGCTCTGAAGACAGCTCCTGCAAGCCCAAAAACTTGGGCCAGAACGGCTTGGTGATGGTGATGGTGGTGGTGGTGGTGATGATAACGATGTTGATGAGAATGACGATGATGATGATGACAATGACGATGATGATGAGGATGATGATGCTGCTGATGATGATACTAATGATGATGCTAATGATGATGATGATGATGATGATGATGATGATGATGATGATGATGATGATGATGATGATGATGATGATGATGATGATGATGATGATGATGATGATGATGATGATGTTGACGATGACGATGGCGGCGGCGGCGGCGATTACGACGACCACGGCCACGGTCACGGAGGCGGTGGGGCAGGTGGCAACCCAGGTGGTAGCCAGGCCCCAGGCCGACCATGGCCCAGCCGATCACGAACCTGGGGGGCTGCCCTTGAGCGGGAGTGGGGTGGGTGGCGAGAGAATCGCACGAGCCCTCTTGGCGCAGGTGGTTCAGATCACCTCCTCTTCCAACCCCCCTCTTCCCTGTCGGGAAGGGGCGTGCCGCTCTTCATCATCCGTTATCCTCCCTCTTCTCCTCCTTCTCCTCCCCAGCCTCTTCTTACCTCAGCCTCTTCTTACCTCATCCCCCTCCTCCTCCTTCTCCCCGTCGTCCTCCTTCCTCTCCTCCCCCCTCTCTCTCTTCCCCCCCTCCTTGGCCATTGTGGCCCATTGCCGCCCACGGCGGTGGCCGCCCATGACTGGCGCACCCCCCTTGGCACGAGCGGGCTCGCCATGTGCGTCCCACTCCGGTGCTGCCGAGGGCGTGCTGCCGCGGAGGGTGCCACGGGATCGGATGGCCTGGGCTTCTGGCCGCGGGCTGCGAGGCGCCGCCGGGGCTCGCGCCACGGTCGGCGGGCCGCCTGGTCGCTCGGCCCCAGCGGGAGCGCGACGAGGCGGTCGCCACGATGCGGGAGGCCGAGGACGCCCTCGCCATCGTGGGGGACAGTGACGTCGCCGCGCAGCTGCGCTGCCTGCTGCCAGCCTCGTCGGCGCTGGCGGCAGGGCGCACGCCTGCTTGGCTGCAGAGGCTGCGACGGAATGTCGGTCTCCACGTGGCCACTCCTGGCAGGCAGCGGCTTGACGGCCACCGCGGCCGAGCCGGAGTCGGCTCGGCACGGGCCGCGCCTGGAGGCCTCCGCGACGGTGCAGCGGCAAGACAAGCTCGAGAAGGCTCGCGTGAAAGGGCAATGCAAGTTGTGCGCTGGCTGTACGGCTTTGCGCGCCGGGGCCCCACCTTTTTCGCCCTGGTGCAGGGCGCTGTGAGCCGCTTGAGGTGCAGGACGTTGTATTAGACGCAGGGTGCAGGGGCCTTGGGGAATCAGGTGCTCATGCGGTGCTGTTGCGTACTCTTCAGTGCGGGAGGCAGTGCCACTTAACGACACCGCCATCAAGCTGGAGGGCGTTCAGCATCCCACCAATGGAGTCCCCCCTCCATTGTGGACGGCTCTGAAGGACTGGTGTTGGCTATATTCAACAGTATGCTGCGTTTCAACGGCATGCCATTTTTCTGGTCAAATCCGCGGACCCTTTGGCGTGTAGAAGACGTGAACGTCATCATCGTCATCATCAACAACAACACCAGCATCAGCATCAGCATCATCATCATCATCATCATCATCATCATCATCATCATCATCATCATCATAATCATCATCATCATCATCATCAGCAGCATCAGCATCAGCATCAGCATCAGCATTATCATCATTATCATCATCATAGCCATCATCATAACCATCATCATAATCCACCTCCTCCTACTCATCATCATCATCATTATCATCATCATCAACAACACCAGCATCATCAACGTCATCATCAGCAGCATCAGCATCATCACCACCATCATCCTCATCATCAAACCATCACTATAATCCACCTCCTCCTACTCATGATCATCATCATCACCATCACCATCACCATCGCCACCACCATCACCATCACCATCACCATCACCATCACCATCACCACCATCATCATCATCAGCAGAATCAGCAGCATCAGCAGCATCATCATAAACACCATAACCATCACCAACACCAGCATCATCATCATCACCATCACCATCACCATCACCATCATCATCATCATCATCATCATCATCAGCAGCAGCAGCATCATCATCATCCTCCAGCACCAGCACCAGAATCGGAGTCCAAAACCAGAGGTCCAGAACTACCGAAAGGAAAATAAAAAAGGGTCGGACCAGGGAGAGGCGAGATGAACCTGCAAGCCAGCCCCCTGGGAAATCACCCTCCTCCCTCCTCGCTCCTTCCTCGGCGGCCTGCAGGGCGCCGCCGACGTCGCCGAAATTGTCGGAGACGTCGAGGAGGAGGGGAGTGAGGGGAACATTAAAATGCGCGGGGGCCCATTCCTGCTGCTACCTGCCTGCTGCCACCTCCCGATCCCAAGCTGCTCAGCCAGACCCCAAACCTTCGCTCTAGGGCATCCCCGCGCTCTCCACCCTCCAGGCGAGGGAAGATATTAGAAGAACAGCTCGTTCTTAAATTGTTGATGCCTTGTCGGGAGCCGGACGCTTTGTTAACGAACATGTCCCCCCCACCAGTTCCAAAAGTGCGCACGTCGGTTCCCGACTTGTCCGTTTCAAGGGTAGCCGCACATTAAACTGGCATCACATTCTTAAACCTCTGCAGCGGTTGTGTACCAGGGACCTCGCCACGACGGAGCTTTCTGAGCTCCGAGGACACCTTCGCAGTACACTTGGCGTGGAGCTTACGACTGCGGACGCTGGACGTGAACCCTCCGCAGGCTGCACAGAAAACAATGGGCATGCGCGATCCTATGACCCAACCTATCTGCAGCTTGTGTCTCAGCTCCCCTGCCGTTTCGATGGCCGCCTGTATGTGCGAGGCCACCTCCTGACAGGGTTTTTTGGTGTTTGGGGAGACTCTCCTAAGACAAATCGTGCAACGGAATCTGCCATTGTCCCAGATAGGGCTGTGTTGGCTTAAGAATTTACGGGGGGCTCTCTCCGGGCACTCACGGTTAAGTTCACCGTACAAGTCCCCGGCCTGAGGCCACCCCCCAAGAATCTTACCTACACCTATGAGTAATTCGGTATATGTGGTCACCAGCGCTGAGTACTGCTCGACTTCCTCGGGTGGGAGGTCATGGAGCTTGGCCGCTTCTTTGGCGTGCCAGTCAGCAGCCCTGTTGGCCGTAATGTGCGTGGCATCCTGTTCATCCACCGCCTCACTAAGCTCTCTGTGTGCTTTAATTTTCCTGACGTCCAGCCAGGAATCGGAAGGGAGCTGCGCCGCTATGACTTTCCAGTAATCGGAAAACTGGAACGAGCCTTTTAAAGCAATGTGCGGCTTAAGCCCTTTAAGAAGGGTGGCGCAGTCAACGTAAATGGGTTGAGAGCGCGGGTGGGTCGACCAGACTGCGGCTATCGCTAGCCCTGCGTGCTCGGCGTGCACTGGGGCCTGCTTGTAGCTACAGGGCAGAGGCGAGCGGATTGCTCTGTACAGCTCGCCTGTGTCTGAAAGTTGAACTACTGCTACTCCCGACCTGCCGATGTCAGGGAAAGCGGGATGCAGATCGGACCCGTCAGTGTAGATCGGGAGGTCCTTACTTAAAAGTGACGGGTCGCACGGCCCGTTGGCGTCGAGATGCTGCAACTGCCAATCCTCGGCAGGTTGACTGATGTCGGGCTTAACTGCCCATAGCCTGGCGTAAAACGGGTCGTTTTCGCCGGCGGCCAGAGCCGCATCTACTATGTCAGCGTCCAGAAATTCATCTCTGGAGTCTCTAGAGAAAGGGCATTTAAATACTCGGTGAAAGGTGGTGTCTAATTCTCCACAATGCGGACAAGCACCTGAGAGGATGAACCCCCATCGTTTGAGGGAGGTCCCTGTGGTGACACAGCCGCAAAACATACTCAGCACAAGCTGAGCCTCAATGAACGAGAGTTTCTTTCGGGCGGCTTTAAAACATCGCTCAAACAGCTGCCACCAGAGCCCTTTGTCCTTAATGACGCTATCCTCCGGGGCACGTCTACTAACGTACTCCTGGACATGCTTATCTTTGTACTGCGTTATAAACAGCCGTGCAACGTTGCAGGGGGGAACGCTTAATATATCTATGTTGTTGCCCAGCCTGTCTTTAAACTGCGTTGCATTCGTCGCTGTCCATCCTACCTCTGCCAACCCCAAGAGCATCTGGCTAACGGGGCCACAAGAGCGACCCTGCCACGACCGAAGCTTAGACGAGCTGAGTCCGGCCTTGGCGGCTTCGAAGGCCTTCCTGAGCTCTTGGATTGACAAGCTGTCCTCCTGGCGCCTCAGGTCTTCTCGCCGGGGGAGAGAGACGTCCCACCATTCTCTGCAGTACCGTTCAAGACACATTCCGAACATCTCCAAGGGATCTTTATCTGGAACTCCGCACCACCACAACACATTAGGAGCACGCCGAAGACGATATAGCGACACCGAGGCCGCCAAGAGACGAAGTTTCTTCACCTCCGTCGGCGTGAATCCGTGCGTCGCCCCGCCGCACCTGATAACCGAACGACCTCCTACCAGAAAGAACCTGGATTTGAGCTTACGTACCTTATCTCCTGGCAGGCGCTTCAAACGGTTCACTCGTTGTGTGAGGGAAAGCCATCTTTTCTTGCGGGTGAGGTTGGACGCCCTGTGGCGCTTGTGTTTCCCCCCCGTGTAATCGATCCCAAGATTCGCCGCGCCCCAAGCCGGAGAACCAGAATATTTGCCCAGAGCTTTTTGGCCAAGTTCCAGGAGGGGAGCGGAGCTGGCTACCATCGTTAGTTTGGGGATCGCCAAAGAGACCTGCAGTTCACGTAGTCCTGCTAGAACTCGGGCGGCAAACACCATGAGACACGATACACAATGTTCCATGCCCTCCGACCAGGAACCCAAGGTAACATCATCAATATGAATGCTGGCTGAGGTATTCTGGGCTTGGGTCTCCGACATCAGGGGAAGAGTGAATACCTTCGCCTCGTAGCCTCATCCTCTCACTAATCCTCATCCTCACCCTCATCCTCCTGCTCCTCCTCCTCCTCTTCATTATCATCACCATCGCCATCACCATCACAGTCACCATCACCATCACCATCACAGTCACCATCATCCTCATCATCAGCATCATCACCACCACCATCATCATCAGCATCAGCATCATCACCATCACCATCACCATCACCATCATCATCATCATCATCATCATCATCATCATCATCATCATCATCATCATCCTCATCCTCTCATCAATCCCCATCCTCATCCTCATCCGCCTCCTCCTCATCATCATCAATGCCAAGGAGCTTGAGGAGCAAGGAAGAGGAACGTCGTAATTAAGTCGAAAACAAGCCCCTTCCCTTTTATCCCTTCCCTGCCGAGGGGGGGGGGGTCGGTCCCGGGTCAGAACCCCGCCCCCCCAATGGTTCCGGCGGGTCCCAGGGGGGGGGTCGCCAGCGGGGGTCCTGGGGGAGGTTACGCCTTCAGGGTCGGCGGCACCGGCCGCCAGGCCTTCGCAATATTATGCTGCTTCGATTGCATGTGGCCCTGCAGGGAGCTTGCCTGACACGCGGCATGAGTACCTCGCTGGTTTCGCTCAGCTCTACTGCTTCGCCATCTGCTTGGATGGGGCCACCACGTTCCCATTCCGTCTGCCTCTACTCCGGCCTTTTCGTCCTCGCCGCGGATGCTGCACACAGACCTGAGGAGGAGGAGGAGGAGGAGGAAGAGGAGGAGGAGGAGGAGGAACTGCCCAGCCTGACTGGGTCTTTGAGCGCGGATGTCAAACAGGTCTCTTGCCCCCGCCACCCGCCCCCCTCGAACCTGGAGGGCCCCATGAAGATCGCGCAGACGACCTTCGTGAAGATGCAGGGCCCGGCGCCCATGATCGCGCCCTCGCGCGAGGCCGTCGTCGTCGCCGCCCTCATGCGCCCATTCCTGCTCCTGCTCCTCCTCCTCCTCCTCGTCCTCCTCCTCCTCCTCGTGCAATACGTGGGAGTGGGGAGGAGTAGGAGGGAGAGGAGGGGCAGAGGGTGAGGAGGAAGGGGAGGGGAGGAGGAGAGAGAGGGGGAGCGGAGGGGGGAGGAAGGGCGTGACGACGAGGGCGACGGAGGGGTAGGGCCGGGGGGAGACGCAGCGAGGAGCACGGAAGGAGAAGAGACACTTGTTTGATCGGCGGCGTCTAACATCCGAGTTGCGGGCGGGCTACGCTGGGAAACAGGCAGAGCTAATTGCGGCATAGGTGACATGGGGAGGCAAGAGGAAAAGAAGGAGAAGACCCCGCGCGGCCAGGGGGCCCTCCGAGGGTGAAAATCTTCGGGATGTGCCAGGGCAAGCTCGTCGTAGAGCTGGGCGTTCATCCATAGGTTGGCACGCCCGGGTACGAGTGAGGCGTTTTTTTCCATTGGGAATCAGGGCCCGATCCAGGGAAACAAATCATCACGGATAGTCCCGTCACGCAAAAGCAGTCCCAGGGGGCGGGCTCATACGTCTAGGGAGCAAGTAAGCTGCTGCACATGACAAGGGCGGCCACAAATGGCGGGGCCACCAGGTGGCAAGTGTGCAAGTCGCTGACCAGCGAAAAAGCTACGGCACAAAATGGGCGCAACATAGCGATCCTCCAGGTCGCATATTCTTATACATCGATCGCATCGTCGCTATCCACATCCATCAACACGAGGCGGTGGGCGTGGCAGGAGAGGGAAACATGGGGGGCGGAGGAGGGACACATCATGCTCCTCATCCTCTTTATCCTCCTCCGTCTGCTCCTCCCCGCCGACTTATCCCTATATTGCGCCTCTGCCGCCTCTTCCCGCACGTTATCCTCCTCACATCATCCTCCCCCTTCTCCTCTTCTTCCTCCTCCTCCTCCTCACATCATCGTCACCATCATCTTCATCATCATCATCATCATCATCATCATCAGCATCATCATCCTAATCAGCATCAGCATCATCAGCAACATTCGCATCAACCTCATCATCAGCATCATCAGCATCATCGTCATCATCATCAGCATCATAACCATCATCCTCATCCATCACCCATTATCATAAAAATCCCCCTCATCATCACCAACATCATCTTCAACATCTACATCATCATCACCAGTATCAGTATCACCACTATCATCCCCACCAACATCATCATCAACACCAGCATCATCATCCTCACCATCATCATATGAGTATGAATCGCTTTGCGATTCGTATTATGATTCGTCTTCTTCCTTCTTCTCATTATCCTCATCACCCTCCTGTGGGTCTCCCCCCATCTCCTCCACGCCTTCATCACCTGATTACCTCCTGATGTTTTTCCCGCTTTTGGTTTCCGCAGTCGTGGAGATTGGCCCGCTTAGCGTTGTCCTCCTCATCCTCAAATTCCCTGTCATCCCCTTCCCGTGCTGGCGAGACGCACCTCTGGTCACCGCAGGGAGGAATGGGCAAGAACGCCACTTTCGGACGCCCATTTGGATGGCTTCGCTCTCGCCCAGGGTGTCTCCTTCGCCCTCCTCCTGGCCACCGCAGCTGGCGATGAGGGCGCCGATGTCTGACACATCGTCTTCGGCCGTCTCCAGCGTCGTCCTGTGTGCGCCGAGTGTCCTGCCCCTTTGGGCCGAGGTGCGCCGTCCCGAGCGCAGTGGCCACCTTCGTTTTCCTTCTGCGAGCGGGACGACGCAGCGAGGGCAACGGCGAGGCACTGGGGAGGCACGTGGGCCATCCATCAGGGGTAGAAGCCCTTCTCTCGCGCCGCAGCGCGGCAGAGGCAATCCGCACGCGCGCTCGGGCGGGCCGGGTGACGGCAGGCGCTAAGTGTCCGGCAGCAAGGGCGGGAGAAAACGAGGGAGGGGGCGGCCGCGAGGCGGGGGAAGGGAGGGGGAGAGCGCTCACGTGGCGGAAGCCGCCGCGGAGCGGCGGGGGCGGCCAGCTGGTGCTGCACCCCTGGGGGGCCACCTGCGAACCCTACCCCTACCCTCCACGATTTCTGAGGGGGAGGGTGGGGTTCACTTCGTTCGGGAGCTCCCGAGCGAAGTGAACCCCACCCTCTCCCTCAGAAATCGTGGAGGGCAGGGGTAGGGTTCGCAGGTGGCCCCCTACTGCACCCCTGGCAGCGGGCGCGGGGAGCAAAAGCCCACGCGCCATGTCAAGACAGGGCCACGTCTTCCGAGTCGCCGTTCGCGAGGGAGGCCTGCACTCTGCCCCGCAGGACGCCTCCATCGGTTCGTCCTGGGCCAAGCGGATCGATAGGACTTCGTGCAGTGCTTCGCCGAGCCTGTCGTGGGCGGCCAGGTCTGGGAAGCGGCTGTCCAGGGTTTCGTGCACCAAGTGCTCACCGCCGTCTTGCTCGAGCTCGTCCGTGCCTAGCACCTCCGTGGCGCCGGCAGCGACGTCGAGCAGCGTGCAAAGCATGCGCGACGAGGTGCGCGCGCGACCACTCCTGACAGGTCCTGCAGTTTGATTGTGCCTCCTCCTCCTCCTCCTCCTCTTCCTCTTCCCCTCCTCCTCTCTCCCTCCTCCTCCTCCTCCTCCTCCCCTTCTCCTCACTCCTCCTCCTCCCTCCTCCTCCTCTTCCTCCTCCTCTTCTCTTCCTCCTCCTCCTCCTCCCCCTCTCCTCCTCCTTCCTCCTCCTCCTCCTCCTCCTCCTCCTCCTCCTCCTCTTCCTCCTCCTCCTCCTCCTCCTCCTCCTCCCCAGCGAAGCGGCTGACCGCGCGCCCAGCGTCCGTGGCCCTCGTGCTGCCGCCAGCAGCGTCCGCCGACACCAGCACTCGGTCCCCCGAGGGTCGACGGCGCCTGCTACAGTCGGGGCGTTGACCTAAGGAACCCTAAATAAGGAACGAGGCCCCTTTGTTCCATATGTTACACTTGACTTCCGATCGAAAACAGAAGGACAGCCTGAGGCAAGCTGTGAAACACTTCAGGAACGCGGAGCCCCTCCCCAACGAAAAGGGTTCCTTCTGCAGCACCCCGACTGTATCGCGCGGCACGCTCCGCACTGCCAAGGAATGCTAGCTCCGAGGAGGGGGCGAAGCTGAGCCCCCGTTCTTCCTCACCTGCGGCAGGGCGAGGTGTCTGCTGCCGCAGCCAAGCACGGCACGCACAGAACAGGACGGCGAGGGCATGGCACAGGGAACCACTGGATAAGGAATCCAGGGCCTCGAAACTGGCGGAACACCCATCGAGGCCTGGCCGTGGATGCCACTGCCGACCTCATCAGATAGGGAATCCTCCAGGGCCTGAGGCCCCCTGGGCGCATTCCTTTAACGAACGCCCCCACCGTACACGTCGTTCATTTCTAATCGTGCTCATTTCTAACTGCGCTCGTTTCTAATTGTTCCTGGCCCCCCTACTGGCCAGGAAGAGGCCCAGGATAGAGCACTTAGAAATGAAAGGATCTTGGCTCCCCAAAGAACCAGAGAACTCTCGAAGAGTCAGACACGAACAATGCGTGTGCACGTCCAGGGCCTGACCGCCCCCTGGGCGCCCTCCTTCAACGACCGCCCCCACCGTATGCGCTTCCACCCGGGGGCCGTGGAGGGAGGCCACGCCCGCCCCCCCCCCCCCCGCCCCGGGGGCGCGCTTCAACCTGGATCGGCGATCCGTGGCTCTGGCGCGCAGCCGCCACGTCCACGGCTCGGGGGGCAGGTCCTCCCCCAGAGTGCGGCCGGCGCCGCCTCGGTCGGCGGCGGCAAGCCGCGCGATGGAGGCGGGGGGCCCGTCGCCCATCCGCGCCCCCCTGGATCCATGCTTGCGATCGCCTGCCCCCCCCCCCTCCGCCCCCAGACTCGGGATCGGCCAAGAGGGGGGTGTCCAAGAGGGGGGGTGCAAATCATGACCGGCGGCATGTGCGCGGCCCAGCGGGGGGGGCCAGGGACGCAATAAAATAAGAAGAGGCGCCACGAAATCTGGGGGAATATCATGGCCCACGCCATGATATCCCCCCCCCCTTAGTCATCACCCCCCTCTTGTCCGCCCCCGACGTCTCAGGCCGCGGCCCCCGGAACGGGGCCCCGAGCGGCAGGAGGGGAAGAAGGGGGGGGTCGAGTCTCGCAGCGCTGGCCTGCCCAGTCTGTGATCGAGCAGGGGCCACCGGGCGCAGCCAGGCCAGGGAGGGGGGAGGGAAACCAGCGAGGGAGGGGAGAGGAAGACGCGAGGGAGGGGACGGGGAAGAAGCAAGGAAGGGGATGGGGAGAGGAGGCCTGGACGGAGAGAGAAAGAGAGAGAGAGAGAGAAACAAAAGAGAATGAGAGAGAAAACAACACAATGAAAACATACATATATATTTATTTATATATATATATATATGTGCATGTATGTATGTATGTATGTATGTATGTATGTATGTATGTATGTATGTATGTGTGTATGTGTTTATGTATGTATGTATGCATGCATGCATGTATGTATGTATGTATGTATATATGTATGTATGCATGTGTGTATGTATGCATGCATGTATGCATGCATGCATGCATGTATGTGTATGTGTATGTGTATGTGTATGTATGTATGTATGTATGTATGTATGTATGCATGTATGTCTGTACGTACGTACGTATGTATGTATGTACGTATGTATGTATGTGTTTGTTTGATTATATGTAGGTATGTAGGTATGTAGGTGTGTAGGTATGTAGGTATGTAGGTATGTAGGTATGTAGGTATGTAGGTATGTAGGTATGTAGGTATGTAGGTATGTAGGTATGTATGCATGTATGTATGTATGTATGTATGTATGTATGTATGTATGTATGTGTATATATATGTGTGTGTATGTATGCATGTATGCATGCACGCATGCAGGCATGCATGTATGTATGCATGCATGTATGTATAGATGAATGTATGCATGTATGTTTGTATGTATGTATGTGTATGTGTATGTACGTATGTATATGCGCACATATATATATAGAGAGAGAGAGAGAAAGATAAAGGGAGAGAGAGGGAGGGAGGTCCCCCGAACCAGCAGAGAATGAAAAGAGAGAGAGAGAGAGAGAAAACAAACAAAACGAAGAGAGAAAGAGAGAGAGAGAGAGAAGGAGGGATACTGAGAGCGGGCCCGTCGTCCTTCCAGAACGCCTCCACTGAAATCAACGAGGTCACCGGGATGGAGAATGCGACTGGCGGTGCGGGCGTCCTCCCTCCCTCCCTCCCTCTGCCTCCCTTCATCCCTACCACCCTACCTCCCTCCTCCCTCCCTCTCTCCCTTCCCCCTCCTTCTCCTCCTCCTCCCCACTTTCTGCCCGCCCCTCCTCCTCCTCCTCCTCCTCCTCCTCCTAATATTCCTCCTCCTCCTCCTTCTCAGCCTCCTCCTCATCATGATCATGATCATGATCGGGATCATACCCTCCTCATGAAGATGAGCATGATCCTGACCGTCAGTATCATCATCGCCACCACCAAAACCACCACCGCCATCATCACAAGCAACAACATCATCAGCAGCATCATCAGCAGCAGCATCATGATCAGCATCATCATCAGCAGCATCATCATCCTCGTCATCATCATGACCAGCAGCATTATCATCATCAGCCGCATCATCAGCCGCATCATCACACTCATCATCACACTCATCATCACACTCATCATCATCATCATCATCATCATCATCATCATCATCATCATCATCATCATCATCATCACCATCATCACCATCATCATCACCATCATAATCATGATCAACAGATTCAGCATCATCATGCTGATGATGATCATCATCATCGTCATCACCATCATCATCATCATCATCATCATCATCATCATCATCATCATCATCATCCCGACCACCACCACCATCATCTTCGGCATCATCACTACCACCATCATCATTATCATCACTTCCACCATTAACATCATCATCTTAATCACCGTCCCCATCACAGTCACCGCCACCAGTGTCATCATCATCATCATCATCATCATCATCGTCATCATCATCACCATCATCACCACCATCACCACCACCATCATCATCATCATCATGAGCATCATCATCACTACTGTCACGATCATCGTCATCATCGCCGTCGACGTGTTCATCATCATCAACCCCACCACCACCACCATCACCATCACCATCATCGTCATCATCACCACCACCACCACCATCATCATCATCCTCCTCCTCCTCCTCCTCCTCCTCCTCATCATCATCATCATCATCCTCATCATCATCATCATCATCATCATCATCATCATCATCATCATCATCATCATCATCATCATCATCATCATACTCATCCTCATCCTCATCCTCATGCGTCTGCTCCTTTCCTTCCTCCCTCCCTCCCTCGCCGTCTCGGCCCAGCGGCGCCAGAATGTGGGCCCCGTGCCCCGGCGCCGTGGGACCGCCGCGCAGCCGGGAACTGGTCCGGGCGAAACCGCACTGCCACGGTGGCTGGAAGAGGAAGTGACGGAGAGGGAGGAGAGGGAGGAGAAGGAGAAGGGAGGAAGAGGAGGAGGAGGAGGAGGAGGAGGAGGAGGAGGAGGAGGAGGAGGAGGAGGAGGAGAGGGAGGAGGAGGAGAGGGAGGAGAGGCTGGAAGAGGAAGTGAAGGAGAGGGAGGAGAAGGAGACGAGCCAGGAGGCGGAGGCGGCGGGGGCGTGGCCGTGGGGTGTGCGCCACCCAGCCCAGCGCTGGGCGCCCCGCCCCGCCCTCCCTCCTTCCCTCCCTCGTTCCCTCCCCCCTCCCCGACTCCCTCCTTTCCTGCCTACCTGCCTGTCTACCTACCTGCTGGCATACCGTCCTCCACCCCTCCTCACTCCTCCCCCTCCTCATGCCTCCTCCGCCTCCCTCCTCCTCCTCCTCCTCCTACCTTCGCTTCCTCTGCCTACCTTTCCTCCCTCCTCCTCATCCGCCTTCCGCCTCACTCATCCCCTCCTCCTCCTCCCCTTTCCTCCTCCTCCCTTCACCTCCTCCTCCTCCTCCTCCTCATCCTCCTCCTGCCATCTCACTCCATCTCCTCAATCTCCTCCTCCTCCTCCTCTACTTCTACTCCTCCTCATTACTCTCCTCCTCCTCCTCCTCCTCCTCCTCCTCCTCCTCCTCCTCCTCCCTCTTCGCCCTTCCCCACTTGCCCCGCCTCGTCCGCCCCTGGGCGCAGGCAGAAGCAGCCCGGCCGGGCGCGGGAGGCGGCTCCAGGCGGCCGAGGACGGACGGCGGGAGCACTGCCTGCCGTGGCCCTTCGGCGAGGCCGGGGGCCCGCATGGCAGCAGGCTGCTGGCCCGACCTGGCATGCCACGAGATCGCGCCGCCACCTACAAGGCGTCGCAGAATCGGATCAGAGAAACTATGGATTCAGTTTGTGTCGGGGTTTCGGTTTTCTGCTATGCCTGGCGGCCCATAGGGGCCAGACGGATCGCGAGGAGGCGGATGATGATGATGATGATGATGATGATGATGATGATGATGATGATGATGATGATGAGGAGGAGGAGGAGGAGGAGGAGGAGGAGGAGGAGGAGGATGGGCCATCTGTGGTTGTGGCTCCTCGCGTTTCTCCGGCCTGCCTCTCTCCCCCCCCCTCCTCCCTCTCTCCCTAAACCCCCCTCCCTCCTCCTCCCCCCGCCCCTCCCCCCGAAATGGGACGAGTTACAACCGACTTGTCCCAATTCCGACCGTTCGGAGCGAATTGCAACCATAAATGGGACCAATTACAACCATGGGATCTTCAGAAATACTTCTTTCTTCTTCAGAAGGATTTCTTTCTTCTTCATAAGTACTTCTTTCCTCTTCAGAAGTACTTCGATTCCTTGGGATTCCTTATGATTCCTTCGGATTCCTTAGGGTCCTTAGGATTCCTTAGGGTCCTTGGGATTCCTTGGGATCCTTCGGAATATTTGCGAATCCACGGGAGTCCTGAAAAATCCTTAGGGGAAGGGGGCGCTTTGGGGGCCTTCTTGAGTTCGCTTTCGGCCACTCTTCAGGCCCGCTTGGGGCCTTCTTGGAGCCCTCCTGGGGCCCTTATTGAATTTTCTTGGCGCCAAAATAAGCCCAGAAGGGCCAACTCTCGAGGGCTGCAGGAGGACCAACTTTTGAGGTCAATACTACGAAAATTACTACCACTTCGACCTACTGCTACGACTTCTGCTACGACTACTACTGCTACAGCTACTACTACTACTACTACTACTACTACCACCACTACTACTACTACTACTACTACTACTACTACTACTACTACTACTACTACTACTCCTACTACTACAACCACTACTATTCTTTCCTGCTTCTACTACTACGCCTACTGCTTTTAATAAAATTACTTCTACTGAAGCAACGCCGACTACTACAACTACAACAACAACGACTACGACTACTAGTACTGCTATTCGTGCTACCAGCACTACCACTTCTGGTACCATGGCTACTGCTATACTCATTACTAGGACTCGTACTAGTACTAGTACTAGTGCTAGTGCTAGTACTAGTACTAGTACCACTACTACTACTGCTACTACTACTACTACTACTACTACTACGACTACTACTACTACAACTGCGACTGCTATTACTACTACTACTATAAGTATTGCCAGTACTACTACTGTCACTACTACTACCACTATTACTACCACTCCTGATAATGACCACGACTACTACCACTACGACTACTACGGGTCTTGACTTGCCTGCTACGACTACTACTACAACACTACTCGTACCACTGCCAACACCACCATTACTACTACTGCAACTACTCAATCTACTACTACTACTACTACTACTACTACTACTACGACTACTACTACTACTAATACTACTACTACTACTACTACTACTACTACTACTACTACTACTACTACTACTACGACTACTACTACTACTACTACTTCTGACGATACTTTTTTCTCACTACACTACTATTGCTACTAGTGACTACTAGTGACCACCACTACTATATTACTACTACTACTACTACTACTACTACTACTCACTACTTACACAACTACTACTACACCTACTTCATGCTACTACTCCTACTCACTATTACTAAGCCTACTCCCTCTTCTTGTTACTACTCCACTACCACTTCTACCACATACACAACTGCTATACTAGTGCTGCTGTACTATTATTACACGCCTTTCCGCCAATACTACTACTGTAGTTAATATACTGGTACGAATACTGTCGCTACTTACTACTACTACTACTACGACCTCAACAATACCACCAATAACCAGCAACAACAACTAATACTACGACTACGACTACGACTACGACTACGACTAAGACTACGACTACGACTACGACTACGACTACTACTACTACTACTACTACTACTACTACTACTACTACTACTACTACTATTACTATTACGACTACTACTACTACTACAACTACTACTACTACCCCTACCACTACCACTACCAGTACGACTACTCTCGCTGATCATAATGCTTCTAACTTTATAGATACTACTACTACTACTACTACTACAACTACTACTACTACTACTACTACTACTACTACTACTACTGCTACTACTACTACTACTACTACTACTACTACTACTACTACCACTACTTTTATTGCTACTACTACGACCACTATTCCTCCTACTAGCCATTCTACCACTGTTCTTAGTACTCCTATGACCAATACTACTAGTATTTCTGCTGCTACTCTTATTTCTGCTGCTACGACTTCTACTTCTACAACAACAACAACTACTACTACTACTACTAGAAAGCCTGCAACGACGACGACGACTACTACGACGACGACTACTACTACTACTACTACTACCTTGCATAGTGCTACTACTACTACTACTACTACTGCTACTGCTACTGCTACTGTTACTACTACTACTACTGCTACTACTACTACTACTACTACTACTATTACTACTACTACTACTATTATTACTACTACTACTACTACTACTACTACTACTACTACTACTACTACTACTACTACTATTACTATTACTACTCCTACTACTACTACTCCTACTACTACTACTACTACTACTATTGCTACTACTACGACTACTGCTACTACTACTTTACTGATACTACGACGACTACTACTACTACTGCTACTACTACTACTACTACTACTACTACGAACAAAAAAGCAATAGCGGTAGGTGAACCACCCTTGAGCGATTACAATGCGAACCATCACTTCGTCTTTCGGCCAAAACGCCGGAATCCCGATTTTGAATCCCCGGCACGGCTTCGAATCCCAGGCGGGTCGTGCGGTGGCACGCGGCCCCCTACCAATCCACGCGACCCACGGTTTTTTGTCGGAGGGGGGGGGCGGTCACGACACCCCCCCTGCCGACGCGGATCCGGATCCGAGTCGGACCCCCCCCTCTGTTTTGGGGGGGGGTCGGCATCTTCATGTTGCCGACCCCCCCCAAACAGGGGGGGGGGTCGAATCCGTGCCTGGGATTCGAATCCCCTGGGATTCAAATCCGTGCTTGGGGTTCGAATCCGCGCCTGGGGTTCGAATCCGTGCCTGGGATTCGACCGCACGACCCGCCTGGGATTCGAATCCGTGCCGGGGATTCAAAATCGGGATTCTGGCGTTTTGGCCTCCTGACGGTTTGATCATTCGCATTGCGATCGCCCAATGGTGGTCAAGTACCATCATTGAAAAAAAAACACTACGACGACCTTTTTTTTTCTTCTACTACTACTACTACTACTACTACTACTACTACTACTACTACTACTACTACTACTGTTGCTGTTGCTACTACTACTACTACTACTACTACTACTACTAACTAATAGTACTAGTACTACCTACTACTAATAATATACATTACACTACTATTTCCACAATACAATTCACAATACTACTAATACTACATACCTTTATACTCTTACTACCACTACTACTACCTACTACATACTACTACTTACTTATACTACTCTCTTACTACTACTACTACTACTACTACTCTACTACTACTCACTACGAATACTATACTAATACTCCTACTACTACTCATACTACTACTACTACTATACTACTACTACTACGACTTACGACTACGACTTACGACATACGACTTACGACTGACTACTACTACTACTACATATATAATACTACTACTGCTCTAAGACTACTAACTACTACTACTCTAATATTACTACTTCGACTTACTATCCTACTACGCACTCTGCTACTACTACTTCCTACTACTACTACCTATTACTAACTACTACTTACCTAGTAGTACTTCTATTTATCTACTTACTACTACTACGATTTCCTAAAATTTATACCCGTCTAATACTAATATACTACGTACTACTAACTTTACCTTTTCTTTTTACTACTCTCCCCACTCCCCCCCACCCCTCTACCTCCTCCTCAACTCTACTAATCTACCACTACCACTATTACTACTACTAATACTTACTTACTACTTTCTTACTTACACTACTACTAGTACTACTACTACTACTACTACTACTACTACTACTACTACTACTACTACTACTACTACTACTACTACTACTACTACTACTACTATTACTACCACTACTACGACTATAACTACCCAAAACGACTATCCCGCCCGCCAACCCGTCATGCCATCGATATTGGCTGCTGGGGCTGAGCACGCGCAGAAAGTCTTGTAACATACAATGCGAGTAGGGAGGGGGGGCGGCGGGAAGGGGGAGCGACGTAGGGAGGAGGAGAAGGATGAGAAGGACGATGAGGAGGAGGAGGAGGAGGAGGAGGAGGAGGAGGAGGGGGAGGAGGAAGAGGATGAGGAGGAGAGGGGGAGGAGGAAGGAGTAGGAGGAGGAGGAGGGATGAGGAGGGAGGAGGGAGGGCTCCAAGAAGGCCACAAGAGGGCCCTAAGAGTGGCCCAGAGAGACCCCAAGAAGGCCCCCAAAGCAGCCCCTTCCGAAACATATACTATGTTTCGGTTGTGTTCCCCCGCCCCCTTCCAAAAAATGAAATATGTTTCGGTTGTTTTTTCTTCTTGCTGCCGTTTCGGGCTCTTTTAGGGCCCCTTGTAGGACGCCAGCCCACTGGACCCACCAGCACCCCTCGAAAGTGGCGGCAGTTTCGCAGATCGCACCCCCCCCCAGGGATGGCGAGGTCCAATCTGAGCCCCCATAGGACGTCACTCTGCTGGCCCCCCCTGCAGCCCTCTAAAGTTGGCCCTTCTAGGGCTTATAATGGGCGCCAAGAAAAGCCAATAAGGGCCCCAGGAGGGCTCCAAGAAGGCCCCAAGAGGGCCCTAAGAGTGGCCCAGAGAGACCCCAAGAAGGCCCCCAAAGCAGCCCCTTCCGAAACATCGAATATGAATATTGTTCGGTTGTTCTTCCCGCCCCCATCAGAAAGAAAACAGATTTGTCGGTTGCTTTTCCCTCTTGCTGCCGTTTCGGGCTCTTTTAGGGCCCCTTGTAGGACGCCAGTCCACTTGACCCACCAGCACCCCTCGAAAGTGGCGACAGTTTCGCAGATCGCAGCCCCCCCCCAGGGATGGCGAGGTCCAATCTGAGCCCCCATAGGACGTCACTCTGCTGGGCCCCCCTGCAGCCCTCGAACGTTGGCCCTTCTAGGGCTCATTTGGGTGCCAAGAAAAGTCAATAAGGGCCCCAGGAGGGCTCCAAGAAGGCCCCAAGAGGGCCCTAAGAGTGGCCCAAAGAGACACCAAGAAGGCTTCCAAAGCGCACCCTTCCCCTAAGGATTTTTTTTATGGATTCCTATGGATTCGCAAATATTCCTAAGGATTCCTGACGGAATCCGGAGGAGTCCTGATCCTAAGGATCCTAAGGGATCCCCAGGACCCTAAGGAATCCTAAGGATCCTAAGGAGTCCTAAGGAATCATAAGGAACCCTAAGGAATCCTAAGGAATGAAAAGGACTTCTGAAGAAGAAAGAAATACTTCTGAAGAAGAAAGAAGTACTTCTGAATAAGAAAGAAGTACTTCTGAAGATCCCATGGTTGTAATTGGTCCCATGTATGGTTGCAATTCGCTCCGAACGGTTGGAATTGGGACCAGTCGGTTGTAATTCGTCCCATTTCGGGGGGAGGGGCGGGGGGAGGAGGAGGGAGGGGGGGTTAGGGAGAGAGGGAGGAGGGGGAGGGGAGAGAGGCAGGCCGGAGAAACGCGAGGAACCACAACCACAGATGGCCCCTCCTCCTCCTCCTCCTCCTCCTCCTCCTCCTCCTCCTCCTCCTCCTCCTCCTCCTCCTCGTCCGCCTCCTCGCGATCCGTCTGGCCCCTATGGACCGCCAGGCATAGGAGAAAACCGAAACCCCGACACAAACTGAATCCATAGTTTCTCTGATCGGGAACAAGGTTGTCCCGAATGGTGGATGAATTGTGCGTGCGCTTCCATGTTCTCAGATTTATACTGGGCTGGTATATTCACGCTGCATGCATCAACTTTTGTTTCAATTAGGTACTACATGCGTGGTAGTGTCCTCAAGGACTCTACGTTTCTCTATCTCCCCCTGTGCATGGCCTTGGGATCTTGTATTCCCATGCTCACTCAGGGCTCCTGGAAGTTGGTGCCAGAGAACCAACAAAAACCAGTACTCAGGTACACAAGCAGATCTGGGGTGTGCATTTTCAGAGCCAGCTCGTGCCATGGCCATCGACCTGCTACACCCCATAATCGCTGCCGACCTGGCTGCACGACTGGGAGAAAGTATGTAAACACAAGGTCGACTGAGAAGCGCCGTGGTTCCGTCTGTCCGACATCGAAGAGCCAGCCTTGCCGCCCATCATGGACCCCAGGTGGCGCATGAGGCGAATGCCTTTTCATCTGTCCTGGTGCAATGCCTTGGGATCTTGTATCTGCCCCTGTGCACGGCTCTGGGAAGTCTGTATGTCGCGTTGCGGAGCCATGAGATCCTTGATCTGCCCTTGTTCAGAACAATCGTGCGCTGCGCACAGGTCACATGCAAACGGTGAGCACAGGTCACATGCAAACGGTTGCCGTGTCCACACTGCTCGCCGCTGTCTTTTTGGCAAAGCCATGTCGAAGTGGACGTTGAAGAACTGCACAACCTTCCAGCCCGTGCACCCGTGCAGGGGCACTCGATCCTGTCTCTGTCCCTGCGCAGGGCTCTTGGGGCCGCGCCTGCCCAAGTGCGAGGCCCTGGGACGTGCACGTGGCCCGCTGCCGGGCCGTGGTCCCTGCATCCTGCCCCCCACCTGTGTCGGACGGCGGGAGCACCGAGCAGCGGCTACGTGCTGCCCGCTTCGTGTCCACCGTGCTCGCCGCCGCCGCCTCGCAAGTGCGCAGTGTCATGGTGCAGTCAGAGCGGCACTCGAACAGCTTACACATCCTGGCAGCATCTGCCCCCGTGCAGGGCCTTGGGGGGCTCTACGTCTGTCCCATGCGCAGGGCTGTGAGATGTTGTATATGCCCCTGCGCAGGGCAACGGTGTCGTGTATGGGCTCCTGTGCAGGGCCCTGGGGGTTGGAACGTGCTGATCATGTTCGGGCTCGCTGTTTCTTCACCCGCATCGTGGCCGTGTTGGATGTGTGACCTGCCCCTGTGCAGGGCGTTTGGAATGTTGTACCCGCCTTTGGGCACGGCCTCTGGAATCTTGTTGCTGCCCCTGTGCAAGGCCTTGCGGTCTTTATCTGCCCTCGTGCAAGGCATTGGGGTTTCATGTATGCCCCTGTGCAGGGCTTTGGGTTTTGACAGCTGCAACAAGACAGTATGATGACTTGTTATAGGTTGGACAGCTATGGAAGGCTACACTCACTATCGTTATGTATGTTTAGCGGCGTGTTTTGCATACGACGAGTGTACATGGAGCACCGGGTGAGGGCCCCTGTGAGGTGGTCAAGGTTAGGTCATCTACGATGAGTGCTGCGTAGTAATGGGGAAGCAGCCGCTTGCACAGTTCGTTTGCAGTACGCGTATTGCGTCAAACGTCAAGCTCTCATTGATCCGATGTGTGGTGGAAGTTCTCGGCAGAACCATACCCTGAACCACATCTTCGTCCTCTTCTTATCCTTCCCCCACCTCGCTCATCCATCCATCTCTCTTTCCCTCTCTTCCTATCCCTTCCGCTCACCTCCCCTCCCTCCGTCTCTCCCTTGCAACGCGGGGCCTGTGCACGAGAAGAAGATCCGGATCATCCACGAAGTCACGCGCTTGGTCTGCTTCACCTGCCCAGCCGCGGACGGACCAGACGAGGGGGAGGGGGAGAGGGAGGAAGGGAGGGAAGGAGGAGAGTAGAAATGCAAACAACTTGGGCGATGGAATGTGTTTTGGGACAGCAGGTGTGGCTATCCAACACGGTTGGGGACACCCGGTGTGGTTGTCCAATACGAGAAAACGAATAACACGGGCACAGTAGTATCCTGATGAACCGAGAAGGCAACCGCGATGCAGGAGAGGGTGCCGTCCGAGCCTGATGCCCCAACCGACCATGGCGGTCCGTCAGGTAACCAGACCCGACCATCGAGCAAAGACCGACACAGCAAACCAACCACTTAATGGCGTTCTCTCCGCTTTGCCGAGCGTGCCGGCCGCAAAAAATTGGTACAGCACCGCACAGAGAGAGAGAGAGAGAGAAACAAAAAAAAAAAAAAACCCACCTGGCCGCGAAAGTGCATCATGCCGTTGTCTGTTCAACATGAGTCGTGACAACTAAAACTGGCATGCTACAACAGTCCTTCGCAGAGTATCGGCTTAACCGATACTGCGAAGCGCAACTGTGCGTGCGCAGCAGCCCGGTGTCCGAGACACTCATGCTGCTGCGAGCCGCTGCAACTCTGGATCCTGGCCCTAAATGCTGTTGCGTTCCCAACCGCATAACAAGTGTGAGCGGAAACGCTCAGCATCGCTCAAAATCTACAGCCGCAGCGCCTCTGTGAGTTCAGAGCTCGCCCAAGTTCACACACTGCGTGCTCAGGAGTTGTTTCTTGAGCTTCTCCTCGGTGTACTCGACACAGCTGCTGGCGTGCGAGAACTTGGCCTCTATCACCCCCAAGACGCAGCAGGTCTCGTCGAGGTGCTCGTCCTGGCCCTTCGGCGCTTCGCTGCTGGCGAACGCCGCAGTTTGCGAAAGACTCGTAACCCGTGGTTCCCCGTCAGCTTGCCAAACACCTTCTCGATGAACGCGAACATCCTGTCGACGTGCGTCTTCTGTCTGGCGATATCGAGGCCGTCGACGTCAACGACAGCGCCATCTCCGCACTGGAGGCGCCGTTGGCCGAGCCACCAATTGCCTCGCGCACGCGCGAGGCGCCGGTGGCCGGGCCGCCAGTCACCTCGCGCGTGACCTCCAGCCCTGCGCTCCTTTGACCCAGTCACCTGGGCGAGCTTCATAGAGAATGTCCGGGATGCGCCCGTGCTCCGGCCTCTTCTCAAGGCAGGCGCTCCAAGTGCTCGTTGAACGCCCCGTGAATCGCAACCTGGCACCTGTCGCAGCACGGCTGCGCTGCCTGCCGGCGCCGCAAAGACCACCTCGCAACGCGCCTCGCCCGCGAGCTCATGCATCATCTCGCGCGCCCTCCCCCGCAGGAGAGCCGTCTCGGCGCCCGCGGCCGCCTGCGCCCAGTCGTGCCCGCGCGCCGCCTTCGAAGAGAGCAGGCGCTGAGATGCCCGCTTGGCTGCGCCAGCGAAGCTCGCAGGGTTCCGGCACCCGTGCCGCAGAAGCCCCGCGGGGCTTTCCTGCACTGCGCGATCTTCTTCATTTCACCATATGGCCCCTTTTTATACTTCCACTGGAGGACGCGACGCAAATCCATCGCGTCGCGAGCGTGCTTGAGCGGCCTGTGCTTACAGCGCATGTACACGACCCACCTGGGCAACTCCTTCAGGATGCTGGTATCCACCTCCCTGGACAGACTAGACTCCTCTTATTTCGACAGAAGTTCGGCGTCACGCATGATAACTGCGGTTTCGGTCGCAGCACGACTATTGAGGACCGCTGTCTGGAAGGCGCCCCAGCGGCCGACCCCACCTATCCTCGGCGAGATTGTCGCGGCTGAGAAATGCTTGACTCACTGCCAGTTCCAAGGTATAGCGATAACCATCCGCGCTTTCGTCTTCCTCGTTCATCTGCCCGCGCTCGCCCGCGCCTACCTCCCAGCGGTGGCAGTGGCAGGCCTCGTGGATGACCTGCCTCTGCTGGGAGATCTCCAGATGCTCGGGCCACTCGGCTTGCCGACGTCACATGCCGGCGGTTGCCGGCTCAGTAGCTGCTTGGATCAGCTGCTGACTCTCGTCGGACTCCACCTCCTGCAGCTCTGTCCAAGCCCCCCGAACCCTCGGCGCCGGGCCACGCAGCTGGCAGAGCCTGCTCGGCGTCAGCGGTTGGCGCGTCGCTGTGGGCCGACTCCTCTGGGATCGCTTGAAGCCCAGAGGGCGGGCCTCCGTCCGCGGGGGCCTCCCCAGCGCCCCGAAGTCGCGCTGCTCCAGGGCCCGCGCTGGCGTCGGTCGTCGAGAAGTCGTCGCCGCGCACGATGGGCTGCATGGCGCGCGCCGGTGCGTGGTCGGGCACTCGCGGGTGCGGCGCGTTTCTCGGGGCGCCCCGCAGGGGCCCCAGAGGCGCCGCAAAATTAGCCGACTGCGAGTTGCACCTGGCCAGGCCTCCGGTCGCCGCTGGCCCCCTGCCGCGCGCGCGGCGCGCGCGCGGGGCGGCTGCAGCGGCCCTGGCCAGGGGCCGCGCAGGGCCTTGGTGAGCTCCGGCTTCGGGCGCGCTCGGACGCGCGCACTCTTGCGCCGTTCCTTCAGGAGCCAACGATCCCTGCTCCATGTCCTCAAGGCGCTGCCTGGGCGAGTCCAGCTCGGGCGAGGCCGGCACTCGCGTCGTTGCGATGAACGTCCTCACGTCCCGGAGTCGGCGCAACATCTCGTCCTTCCGGCACTTGGCCGCGACGCGGTCTCTTGTGGGGGCTGATTGGCCCCGCCCAGCTGGACGCGTCCTGGGGGGGCGCAGGCCGATGCGCGTCCACCGCGGCACCTACGTTGAAACGTCCCTCCTGAGTGCGCGGTGCGAGTCCCGAGTGCACGGTGCACCCGCGCTACGCTACGAAGGTCGCTTCGATCATTCGCTGCGGGGCGACCCGGGCCCCTCCAATGCAGCCTGATCGGCCGGGTTTCGCCGCTGCCTGGGGCCCCGGAGACTGGGCCTCCAGCGGCCGCGCCCTCGTCCTCGATCTCCAGCGGGGGCGGCGCGGCAGGCTGCCTGCCGAAGACGGCGCTGCAGGGCGCGACGTCGCCCGCGCGGGCAAGGCCGTTCCCCGCGAAGATCGCGTCGGCTAGCAGAGAATCGAAGTCGACTGAGGGCCCCCCCCTCGCCGTCTGTTCCTCAGCGGCGCGATGGGCGCGCCTCAGTGCGGCGCCTCGTCGTTCGATGAACCTCGCGCGCTGCTGGGGCGCCCTGATGTCCACCTCGACGCCGCGCCGCTACATCTCCTCCTGTGAGCTGTCGGGCGCGGGCCCGCCCGCGCCGTCCACGATGAACACCTCCATTGCCCCGAACAGCTGGGTCCACGAGCGGCCCACACCTTCCAGGAGCGCAGAGTAGAGGCAGTCGGCGGTGCCCACGCCGTTGCGCCACCGCGAGGCGCAGCACACCAAGCGCAGGACCTGCATGTCTTTGTAGAGCATGAGGTCGCACCCGACGTGTTGGTTGAATCTCAAGGAACGCCTCAAATCGGGTACTGTCTGGTGCTCTGGGGGCATTCGCTTGCGCCACTCACGGCAACTGTTCACCACCGTGGGTATGAGGTCCAGGATGGACTGGTGGATGTTGGCGGCCCGAAGCGCTCTCGTCATATCTTCCTTGGTGGCGTGACACTTGCGCAGTTCGCGCGCCCGAGTCTCGTGCGATTCGCTGAGCAGTGCCCGCAGCGAGGCCGTCGCGTCGAAACGCGTCCAGTCGAACGGCTGCGGGTTGCTTACGCTGGAGCTGGCGCTAGAGCGAGCAACTGGTGCTGGCGGCAGCTCTGCCTCATCAGCAGCTGCACGATTAGCACCGCCCTGTAGTTGTGTTGGGCGTCGCGCCGTGCCAGCGGTTTCCTGGGCTGCGCGTGGGAGTTAGCGCGCCTGCACTTGCCCTGCTTGTAGTTGCGCGATGGATGGCCGTGATCCCTCTCGTGCTTGCCTCCTGGGCACTTGACTCTACGGATTTCCGCCCCGCAACATCGAAGGCACTCAGGGGTCTCGAGTGGGCAAGTGTGCCTGGCTCGCTTGGCCGCGACCTCGCGCAGGATATCGTCTTCTCGGTGCTGCGTGCCAGTCGCGGGGTAGACGTTCTGCTCGGCGGCGGGGGGGCAACGGCGAATTCACCCCCACCACAAATTGACGTTGGCCTGGGCAGAGCTCGCGGGGTCCGAGACCCCAGTGAACTGACGGCGCAGACGTCGACTCAGGTCGACTGGACCAGCCCTTCAGCCAGCTTCCGGCGCCGAATCTGCGCATCCAAACTGTTGTTCCCAATGACGTGGACGTGCTGGGTTTTGCCTGGGCACCGAAGATTCTAGAACTGCTCCAGGATCCCGGGCGCGCTAGGGACGAGGCTGGCGGTCTTCTGCAAATGTTGCATCGCTGCCCCCGCAGTCCGAGCTGGCGATGGTCGAACGCCTGCTGGTCCACTCCCCCCGCGGACACACACACACACATATATATATAATATATATATATATATATATATATATATATATATATATATAGCTCGCCTAACCGTTCCCTCCCGCCAGGCTCATTTTTGTGTGAGGGGCTGACCAGGCCAGTGACTTCGATACGTCGATGCCGAGGAACGCCAAGCCGAGAGCACACACCCTGCATAAAGAGATTGCATTACAGTTTGCTGAGCATTGAAAAGGAGAAGAGAGAGGCGAGAGAGGCACGGCACAGACACACACCCACAAAGGCACGCGAGAGGGGAGGGAGGGCGGGAAGACTTGAGCGTGGCAGTTGCGGCGGGATCCAGGATGGGCTATGCCTAAACATGTGAAATGTGACAGCTCGCCTAACCGTTCCCTCCCGCCAGGCTCATTTTTTGTGTGAGGGGCTGACCAGGCCAGTGACTTCGATACGTCGATGCCGAGGAACGCCAAGCCGAGAGCACACACCCGTACCCGTACGGTGAACTGGCCGACTTACAGGTATGCAAGAGGCGGCCGAATATATATACTTCAATTCCCATAGGCCACGTCAACAGCATATTTTGAAAACTTCCGAGCACGCTTATCCTCAAAAGACCTCTCCATAACCCGGCTGAACTTCTGTGCGAATCCCTTGGGATATTCAGCTGCCAGACGAGTGAAGTGAGGACCGTGGGGGGCGTGTCCAGACAATATCACATGCGGTTTGTGCGACTTAGAGCACATGCCAGAGCGACCAGAACATCGGAGACTGAGTTTCAACAAAGGCAACGAGTTCCAGGCGGCGACGCAAGTCGCCTTCCGCCACGGCGCCCCGAACTGGCACATGTGCAACTGGATCTTCTGAGCGCACGGCGCATGCAAAAGCCGGGCCAGCTCGGGAGCGTGCCACATCAACGAGCCCGCTGGATTCTCAAGATACACGGCGATGTTCCACTTCACGGCTAAGCGGATGACCTTACAGCTAAACTTGAAGGTCAAATTGCCCACCTCCAGCCTCGCTTGCTCGCCGACCGAGAGCCCTGGCAACCCCATGGGATGTCGCCGTGAGCGCAGAGGTCGGCGAAGGGCCTGACTCCAGGTCGTACAAGGCGTACCAAGCCAGATGCCGGCTATGCAGCCTGAAGTGATCCACCCCTGAAGCACCTCAAAAAACTCATGCACCAAGTGATTCTCATGAGCGCCCCGCCCGATGTCGAAGCCGATTGCGGAGAAGCCATCCGCCTTCAACGACGCCGTGATGCAGCCCGCGCCACAGAACAGCTCGACGAAAACGAAGCGCCTGTGCAGCCGCCCCTCGCCGACGGCCTTGCGGAAGGCAGCCGGCATGTGGGCCCGCACGGACCCCGCTGCCGCAGCCGGCCTCGCCGCCGCCTGCGGCCGCAGCTGCCCGCCACCGCCAGGCTGGGCAGGTCGCCGGACAGGCCGGCCAGGGCGGCGGGCGGCTGGGAGCGCAGCGGATGCGGCCGGCCGTCGAGGTCGCCCTCGCTCTCCATCGCGAATCTCGCTCCGACAGGCGAGTCGGACGAGAGAGTGACGGCCGGCGGCCAGTGCAGGGCGGTGGGCAGCCTCGACTTCCTCGCCTGCGGCTTCACGCGGCTCAAGTGGCAGCTCTGGCCATGGCACGGCATCCGCCTTGCCCGGCAGCGGTCGCGGGTGATGGCCCGCACAGCCCCTCGTTGGTGAAGAGGGGGCTGCTGGGGCTGCCGGCGGCCTGGCGGCCACTGCTCGGTCGGCTGGGCGAAGAACATGATGTACACGCCGCTGACAGGGTACACCGATGCCGCCTCGGCCGGTGTGGTCGACGGCGGAGCCTCCGGGCGCGGGCGGATACGGCCCGCGCGGCCGAGGGTCGGCGTCTCCCTGCAGAGGGCCGCCTTGATCGGGAGCTGACCGGTCATGTCCTGCGGCAAGAGCGCCCACTGGTGGTACGCCTGCCCCGCCGACGCTGACGGCCGGGCGGGGCTGGGGCCACGGCGGCGCCTTGTGCCCCTGCTGCATCCGAGGCGTGCCCGTGCGAGCCCCGACCGCTTGATCGGCGGCAGGGTCAGGGGCGCGGCCTGGAGAAGGAAGGGCATGACCAGGCTGAGCGTCGCCCAGAGCCGCCACCCCATGCTGCCGCTCTCGCCCAGTCGGTGCGGCAGGAGGAAGCAACCCACCAGCAGCGCGCCCACTCCCACCGCAGAGGCCCAGCCCCGGTGGCGCGGCGAGCGAGGGGCCGCCGGAGCCCCGCGAGCCGCTCGGGCAGTCTGCGCCTCCGGCGCGCTCGGCGGCACCAGCATCCATCGGACTGTGGCCAACCGCAGCAGCCACGGGCACGAAGTTGCCCAGCGGCCCTGGCGGCTCATACGCACGAGCGCCCGAGAACCAGCCGACCTCGCCTCTAGAGACCGGGTCGGCTGGGTTGAGCTCCGATGGCACCCACCGGACGGCGAGTCTCGAGCCCGTAGCCAGCGACAGAGCACATATACGATAAAGGCACTGGCGAAGGTGAACAGACCTGGCGCGCCCCTTGCCCGCCGCCAATACCAGAGGAAGGTTGTCCGAGAGGATCAGGATACGACGGCCGTGGGCCCTGCAACTCCTGAGGATGTTCTTGAAGCCCATGACAAGGGCCTCACCTTCCAGAAACAGTATGTTGGGACCCATCTCGACATGCGTGGCCGACACACAGCTCCAGCACCCCGGACGCAGAAGACGTTTGGGCACCTCCGAGAACTCCGTCACCTCCAGGGCCTCTTCGTCTGGTGGTCTGGCGTCACAGGCCCACAGGGGCCCTTCCTCATGCTCCAGGATCATCGCGGTCTCCTCATCCACCCCCACAGCCTCCAAGGCCCGGTGACGGGCCTGGGCTCCTCCTTCGGTCTTGAATCGGAACTTCTCCTTCTGACGGCCTAGCTCCTGGACCTGGACCCGGCTCAACTTGCGGCGAACAACCCCAAGACCGAACGGAGACGCATCTGTGCAGGCAACGTAGGGATGCCATTCTGCCTGGAGGTCAACGCACAGCAAGGGCAGCAGGTTGCGGACACTCTCGAGCTCCTGTCTCACCGCAGACCACAGAGGACGCGGGGACGACCCCGCGGCCTGAATGAAGGCGTACGTGGCGTGCAGCAGAGACAGACACTCGCGGCGGACCAAGCTCGTCCAAGTGATGTGACCGGCGACAACCCGCAAAAGATGCCCGCTCACCCTCGGACGGGCCAGCAAGTCGTCCAAGGCGTAGCGAAGCCTCCAGACGTTTCGACTCTTGACCGAGAGATATCGACCGTCTCGAAGCGACATCCCCAAGAACTCACGGTCCCTGCTGGCCCCCTCAAGCTCGTGCACGACCAGGCCCAGCCCCCGCAACAGCTTGACGACATTGTAGAGACGACTGGCCACTGCCCCAGGATCCTGCCCCAAGGTGAGAAAGTTGTCCACATACGCAGCCGAAGCAGTGTCCCCAGGATACCTCAGAACCACCCCTGGCCTGCCGTCCAGCACCTGCTCGTCCCTCCTGAAGCCCCCTTTGTCCAAGGCCCCCTCTAAGACGTTCTGGCATAGGTGGAGAGCCCACGAGAAGCCCATGGGTAGCACCTGCACGCATGGTAACATAGTAACGCCGGCCCCGTCGGGGACTCCAGGGATGTTGAACTTCTGAAGGTAAGAGGAATCTATACAGGGCAGACTAAACAAATGTTCCATTCCTCTAGGAAGCTGCATATGATAGAACGCCACATCCAGATCTCCGCTCGCCACATACAGAGGGCCCCCCTCGGTTTCAAGGGAGGCAAAAGCAGACGGGGAGGGGAGGCGCGTCGACGGGGGGTCGACGAACCTGCAATTAGCAACTCTGGTATCGAAAATGATGCGCTGTGCGCCGCTTTTCTTCTTCACAAAAAACAGCCCGAGATTGCCTTGCCGCCCCATGGCGCGCTCCCAGGACAACATCCCCCGGGAAGACATGTCGGCCAAAAACTCAGCATACCGCCACGGCGAATTCTTCAGGATGGGGTCCATGTGAGGTCCCCGTGGGCAAACTTCTTTTTGCAGGGCCCGTGCCTCCGACTCCGGGCGAAGCATTTGGTGCTGCCAGGCCTCCAGCTGTTTCAAAACAGGCCCAGTCGCAAGCGACTCGAGTGGCACCGGGTCGACCTGCTCGGCGGGCCAAGAGACTAGGTCTCGCTGGAAGGAAGCCACCGCCCCCCCATCTGATGAGTACAGGGCGGAGCCATCAAGGAGCGCCGACAGGGCTCCCTTGGAAAAAGAGAGCTGCTCGGCAGAGTCCCCAGGCGGACCCCCCACCGCACAGCAAGTTGCAATGATATTATCTACAGCTGCTTTCTGCCCGGCATTCGAAAACTCACTACCGCAGGAGACGCAGCCGTAGGTCTTGTTGAGAGACGCGATGGCATCACGAGCGAGGTGCTTATCATGCTCGGCGCGGAGGACCCGACGACGCACAGCACGCGACAGAGGACCAGAAACAGGATGAGCAGCAAGAGATTCAGGAATGGGGAGCGGAAAGATGTCGCGATGGCGACCGTCAGGAAGCTCACGACGATGTTTCGTGCCGCCGACCTTCGTGAGGCCGGGTGGACCCTGCTGCCATCCAAGGCTATCAAGAGTGAAGGCTGGGCCCCGGGCCTCCACCTGGCGTTCGGGCGCACCTCGCACTTGCTGCCCTTCTTGCCCATGTTGGTGACGGCCGTGAGGAGCTGCTGTCGGCGCCTGGGCTGCCAGCGCCGCCCCCCTCACGACCCCTGGGGGCATCATGAGGCACGGCCGGCGCCGCTGCCGGCGCCGGCCAAACTCTCCTCCTCCTCTGGCGACTGCACCTCCTGCGCGACCGAAACGCTGGCGTCCGGGCTGACGCCGAGGATGCCGGGCTGCTCGGGCTGGCCGCTAGGCGAAGCCGGCTGCCCCGCCTGCTCGCTGGGCGCGGAGCCCGCCGGGCTCTCGGCCGGCGCCGCCGGACCTCCCAGGCCGGGAGGGGCGCCCGCGTGGCAGTCGGAGTCCGACTCGGAGTCCTCCATCAGCTGTGACACGTGCACCATCAGCTGCTGGGGCCTGGGCGGCGGCGCCGGGTGGCCGTTCAGCGCCAGGCCAGGGTCCCCCTCGAAGACCACGGCGCCCGCGGCTTCCGCGACCTGACCGAGGCTGTCCTCGCCGAGCGGAGCCGGCAGGGCGTCGCCGCCGTGGGCGCCGAGAGCGCCGACAGGCGGAGCTGGGGCCGAGTCTGGCGCCGCCGTGACCGCCTCGTCCCCGGCGCCGATGACCTCGCCAAGGGGTGCGGCCCAGAGCACGCCGTGCTGGTCGAGAACCGCTGCAAAGCTGGGCCCCTGGAGGTCCGCTGCGACCGGCGGCTCCATGACGTCGGGGTTGGGATCGTCGCCGCACCCGACCGCGCTCCCAAGGTCGTCATCTGAGTCGCTCAGGCCGTCGCTCAAGCAGTCGCCGCTGGGCAGGTTCGGGTTGGGTGTCCCACACATCGCACATTCAAGTCCGCATCTGTTGGGAGTCAAACACCGCCTGCAGCTCCAGCCGAAGGACTGTCCGTTCTCTGAACCTCCGCCCGAATCGCCGCCCCCACGGATCTTGCGGGTAGCGACGATCTCAGACTCGCCGACAATGCCGTAGTCCCGAAGCGAACGCCCATCGACCATCACCTCGCTCTTGAAGCCCAGGACGACGTCCGAGCCCGGGGTGCGCGTGGCGCCGGCGATCTGCGCACGGAACACCCTCACGTCGCCGTCCAACGTCGCGACGAACCACCGCCGTCGTACCGGCGTGTCTAAGAAGCTCAGGACGCCCACCAGCGGCAAGTCGTTGCGCACCGGGGCGGCGGTCGACGAAGGGCGTGCTGCCCCACGCGGGCCAGAGGGCACGCCGCCTGCCAGGCCGGGCGATCGGCCGCCAAGAGTCTGGCCGCCGCCCTCGCCTGAGACGTAAGCGCCGGGCCCCTCCACCTGGCCCCAGCTGTTGGCCTCGGGCAGCAGCACGGGCGTGACCTCCCACTCGCCTGGGGCCCGCGGGGAGCCCGCCGCGGCCGTGAAGGCCACAGTGGCTCCGGCGCGACCGCGGAGGCTGGTCTGGTGCCTCAGCTCCTCGAGGTCGGCGTCGTCGTCCGCGACCTCCGTGTCGCTGGTGAGGTGCTCCTCCATTCCCTCCTGATCGAGCACCGCCTGGACTTCAGCGCCGTGGCGGGGGCCGCCCTGAGCATGTCCGACACCACCTGACGAAGCACCGGCGTCAGCACCAGGCGCCGACTGGCTTCGCCATGGCATCGAGCGGCCCCCTGCTACGGGGAGCTCCTCTGAGAAGGGGAGAGCGAGAGGCCTTGACCAGGCCCCCGCCGGTGCGCGTCCCGAAATCACCTGCAGACCTGTCAGCAGGGAAAAGACTTGAGCGTGGCAGTTGCGGCGGGATCCAGGATGGGCTATGCCTAAACATGTGAAATGTGACATATATATTTATCTCGTTTTGGTCGCGCATTCGCCACTGGTTAAGATCTCGCAGCTGTGCCAGACAGCTGTGTTGAGGTTTTTACGCTGCGGGGCCCCCCGCTACTCGCACCACCCTCGCGCTCCCAGGACACGTGGGAGTTCGAGCCAGATCGATTCCTCGAGGGTCACGGCGCCCGAACCACGGACCCACGGAGCGGCCCAGGGGTCCCAAGGCCGAGGGCGCGGTACAAGCGGGGGGCCCGCCACCGAAGGAAAAAACTCTCCAGGGTGGCCGCCGCGGCCTCTTTCCTACTTGCTCGGGTGGTTGTGGGATGGCAGAGCAAGAAAGCTGCGAGATAAGATCGGCGATTTCGCGGGACCCCCGAGATACCCCAATGACCTGTAGTCATAAGTCTGATCTCGTTTTGGTCGCGCATTCGCCACTGGTTAAGATCTCGCAGCTGTGCCAGACAGCTGTGTTGAGGTTTTTACGCTGCGGCGCCCCCCGCTACTCGCACCACCCTCGCGCTCCCAGGACACGTGAGAGTTCGAGCCAGATCGATTCCTCGAGGGTCACGGCGCCCGAACCACGGACCCACGGAGCGGCCCAGGGGTCCCAAGGCCGAGGGCACGGTACAAGCGGGGGGCCCGCCACCGAAGGAAAAAACTCTCCAGGGTGGCCGCCGCGGCCTCTCCATACACACCTTTTACTGGCTATAGCCGGAATTCAGTAGCATTAGGCCAAGCTGACTCAATATATCTTTCGAGAGCTGGCTCATTGAGACATCTACAAGGTCGGCGACAGCCTCCTCGATATACACACGTGCAGAAGTCACGGCACTCCATCTCCCACGCTGCATTGTGCGCTCGAGATTGGCGCCCAAGAGAAAGTCATGGCAGGCGCCTCCTCGCCTGAAGCTGTACCAGGACCAGCGCGCAGGCGGGATCGAGGCGACAGCGAGGAGCGACTTCAGGAGCCGCTGGAGCTGCACGTACGTGTACGGGCACAGGTGGTCCGTCGGCTGGGCGCGCTCCGCAGCAACCCGCAGCAAGTTGACTGCGGCGGGCGTTCGCACCACGACGAACTGCACATTGCCGGTCCTGACGCCCATCTTCGTCTCCGACAGGCGCAGTATGACGCCGCCCTCGGCGAACGTGATATCATCATATGTAAGATCACGCAGCTCCTTGGTCCGAAGCATCGCATCAAACGTGACGAGGACCAGGGCAGCCAACAGGGGCTGGCCAACCGAGACTGCAGCGCCTGCAAGCCCGAGCGCCATCTCGGGGCTGGCCGGATAGGCGCGATTGATGGGCGCCAGCTTCTGCCACGTCTTGACCAGGGACCACGCAAAGGGCAGGGCCGTGCGGAGCTCGGGGGCGAAGAAGAGGCAACCGGCGAGCGCATAGCGCCCATGGCTGAGCGTGCCCTCGTTCGCCCACTGGTCCTCGACGTAGGCGCCCAGCGCGCTGTCTGCCTCGGCCGAGCTGTTCAGCGGGAAGCCACCCTCGATGGCGAAGGCGAGGAACTCCGCGACGGCGATACGGTACCTCTTGAGCGTGACCGCGCTGGCCCTGAGATCAGAGAGCCTCTGGGAGCCTCGCAACCGCTGGAGCCTTTGGGCTTGCGGCGAGAGCCTCTTAGCTGCCACACCTTTCGGGATGGCGCGTCGGCGGGGTTGTCTTCCGACGCGATGTAGCCAAGCATGACGTAGCAGCCTGTCGCCCAGCACAAGGCCCCCCAGCGCTTGACGTGCATCCGCAGGACCCTGCTGCTGCTGCGGCCCTTCGTCAGCACCGAAGCGGCGACCTGGCTGTCGATCAGGTGTAGCATGCGCCTGGGGCGGCCCGTGCCCGACCGCAGCCTCCACTTGATGGTGTTCACGGCCGCCTGGATCTCGAGGGCGTTGATGTGCTTCCCGATCCCAGCACGCCACCGGTAACTTGAGATCACCTTCCACGTCCAGACGCTGGGCTCGAGCGACACGCGCGGCCACGCGCGGTGCCGGAACGGGAGGTGCACGTCCAAGCGCACGTCCGTGCCCCCTCTCTCCGCGATAGACAGGTAGTGCCGCACGAGCTGCTCCGCCTCGGGCTCGTACTGGTAGTCGTCGCCCTGGTGGTACACCGCGCTGTCGTTCCACGGGGCCCTGCACTTGCCCGTGTGGCACAGGGCATGGGGCTCCCACAGCTGTGGCTGGAACTCGTCGGCGACCAGGGAGTGCTGCAGCAGCCATGAGACCGCATAGACTGAGAAGCTATTCCCAAGCAGGAAGCAGCGCGTGGTCTCGAGGCTCGAGCCAGACCCGTCTTTTACGGCACACTCGGTGTATCCTCGATCGAACCCCAAGAGGACCTCTCTCTCTTCTGCCGACGGGGGGCGGAGCTCCATGGTGGCCTCATGCTGGAGTAGGCAGGCGTTCTCGTAAAGGCCGACGTGGTAACGATGATCGTCCTTTTTCCAACGAGCCTTCGCCTCGGGGCTGGCCCGAGCAATTCCAGCAGGTCGAGTAGGCTGTAACAAAGAGGGCCTAGCACAGACTAACGTCGGCACAGGCAGCGGGCCACCATTCCAAATCCAGCCAGGGGAGGTCCAGGGCAGCTCCACGCGCGCCGCGCCGTCGGAGATGACCTCGACGAAGTGCCCCCTGTCCTTGTAGCTATAGCCCTTGCACGGCAGCAAACGCCACGAGAGCCAGTACAACCGCGGCCTTCTGTTGGGGACCAGGCAGCTGCTGCAGAACCGGCAGGGCGTGACCTGGAGCTCGCTAGAGATGCGCTCGATGTCCTCGAATGGCATGGAGGCGACGTTCTCGACGAGGGAGCGGACCTTCCCAGGGAACGCGGCGTTCAGCAGCCCCAGGATTCGCGGTATCTCGCGAAAGAGAGCGCTCTTCTGGCCCTCGAGCCCCCTCCTGCCGAACATCAGCCTCGACAGGTCTTGGCATGGACTGCCGGCGCCACAGTAGACCACGTCGACGATCCCGCCGAAGAGCTGGACCAGCTTGTCAATGTGCTGAGTCCCAACGTCTTGGATGTTCCCCCAGTCGATGAGGCCGGGCCACCTCTTCCTGACGACCCTGCGCGCGCTGGGGTCAACCTCCGACGAGACGTAGCCAATGATTTTCGTGCGGAGCCTTGAGAGCGAGACGATCATGCCCCCGATGCCGTCGAACAGCCCTATGACCAGGACAGCAGGTATCTTATCACCAGCAGGGGGCGGCAAACCAGGGTTCCTCGACTCCCACGCTCGCCAAAGCGACGCCTCGCCCAGCAGCAGGCGGCCCGCCATGAGGTGTTGCCTGCCCTCCTGGCCTGCAGCGGCAGCAGCCGTCAGCTTCGAGAGGGCCTCGGGGCACAGCCTCAGTGACGTGCGGGCGCCTCCACCATCCTCCGAGGCGTCAGAGCAGGTAACCCTCGCATCGACCTCCGCGCGAAGGTCCGTGAAGGCAAGCGGGAGGAGGCCCACGCCGCTGAGGATCTCCTCGGTCATCTCCGAGTTGACCCAGCCAGAGTGAGTGCCATCCGCGAACTTCCAGACCTCGTTGAGGATGCAAAAGAGGACGCGCCTGAACTCCAAAGCCCTGACGAGCTTGCCCAGGAGCACGAGCATGGTCTTCCAGTAGACCCAGTCCTTGGTCACCAGCAGGGCCCCCAAGAGCATGGTCTCGAAGAGCTTCATGAGAGGTACCGAGACGCGCCCGCGCAGACCATCCACGAGCACGCCCATCCTCTCGACCTTCGTCTCCCCGAGGTGGGCCTTGCGTTCGGCCCAGGCCACGCCGTTGCGCTGGTAGGAAGCCCTCTGACGCTTCTGGTAAGCAGAGCCGACGCCGACCTCCCCCTCGGTGTCGTTCACGATCCTGGGGGCATCGAAGTCGTCGATGAAGAACTGGTACCAAGACCTGCAACCGCCCACCTGAGCAATGGGGAGCGGCTTGTCCCTCCTCCACTCATCAATCTCAGGCAGGCCCGCTCCAGCGGGGGGAGGGCGCAGGCCCAGGCGTCTATGAAGGTGTTGGAATAACGTGACGGCCAGCAGCCAGCCCATCGGTATAACGGCTGAGCACACATGCGCCGTCTTCAGATCTGGGCGGCCCACGAGGCGGCCGGGGACGCGGCCCTTCAACGTCGTGAAGCTGCGCCAGGCCCGCGGGATCTTCCAGACAAAGAAGGCGCCCTGCTGGTCGTCACCCGACCAGAGCAAGACGCGCTGGCCCTCCAACACCACCGTAACCCAAGAGGTCGAGGCCGTCAGCGTCGACAGGTCCTGGGTCATGATCTTGAGGTAGCTATTCGCTGGCACCATGTTCATGATGAAGCGGCACTGCCTCTGCTCACCAGCCTCGGGCACGCCCCTTTTCTCAACTGCGAAGGCGCCGTTGAGCACGGGGACGCCGTCCGCCCGAAAGATCTGCTCGTCCTCTATGGCCTCCACGATCCCGAGCGAGTACAAGTGGCCAACGATCCTCGCCCACTCCGCAGGCGAGTCGACCAGCAGCCTCGCCTTCGGAACCTCAGAAGGCCACTGGGCACGTGGCAGGAGGGCCACCGACGGGTCGTCCAACCAGGTGAGCACCTCAGGGCTGACATGAGCACGAGGGTCCAGCCGGCCAGCGACATCAGCTGCTGGTAGGCCAGGTCGTAGTTCTCCCAGCCTAAGGGGCAGCGCACGCGTGCCACTGTCGATGTCGTAAGCGCTGGACGCCCGCGTCGAGATCTCACTAAGGAGGGGCAGCTGAACCCTGCCAAGGTCGCCCCCGAGGAAATACGAGACAGCCTCCCTCGTGACCTCGACGGCGTTGACCTGAGCGGCGGAGTAGTGCGAGTGGTGGCCCCACGCCTCCTCCCCGCACGTGCCCGCATACTGGTAGTTCGTGAGCATAACCTGGATGAAGACCCACAGTTCGGCAGCGACAGCGCAAGCAGAAGGCCCATCAAAATCGGGCCCAGGCTCACTCGAGGTCCCCGCCGCTGACCCCCTCGATGTAACCTTCCAGGCCCTGGCACTGTCCAATGATGGAGCAGCAAGAGGCAGCACATCACGAAACCTCTGCCCCTGCTGCTGCGGTGAATGCGCGTGGTGAAGAAAACCCCGACAGAACCTGCCCAGCCTGCCAGGGTGTGTGAACATAGCATCTATCAGCCAGAGCGCGAAGGTGAGCGGGGTCATGCCATCCTCGAGGGCCGCAGCAAGCCTGGACTTCCAGGCCCTCAGGTCGGACATGCTAGTGAGCGTCCAAGGCCAGCTCGCTCCGCCGCTGGCACACGACGAATTAGCCTCGGTGGCGTGCGTCACCGCCGAGGTGCCGCCCATGGAGCGGCAGTCTTCTGGTTGGCGGCCTGGTCCTGCGAGCCCTCGCCCTCCAGGATGACCTTGCGAGCACCGCCCTGCACTGGCGGCGCCTGCCTCTTGGGGCCGTCGCCCCGCATGAGCAGCGCCAGGCGCTGCCGGTACTTGCCCTGCGTCTCGCCGTCCTTCTTGGGGTTCTGCAGCTTCAATTCCTTGAAAGTCCTGGAGGGCCTGTCCGCCGTCGGGGGGCGTGGAGGCTGGCGACTCGCGCCCGCCACCTCTGCAG